TGGCCGAGTAAAACAGGGAAAGGAGAGAAATCAATATAAAGTTGCACTGTGAAAAAAATAACAGTTCCTTGAATCCACTTCAGATGGATTTGTACAACCAGAGAACCAGACAGCTGCTACAGCTCAGGTTCACTGGCTACTGCCATGACATTGCCTGGGAAAGGAATACTTCTCCTGCATCAAATGCCACTGCCACCTCAATTACCACTGAGATAAGCAAGAGGTGGGCCTCTTTTAAGGTGACTAAGTGAAAATCAAAAAGAATAGATGGACCTCATAAAAGGCATACATGGGAGATTCATATTACCATGAATAAATTACAGACTTTAACCTATTTCTAAGGTGATAGGATTTTTTTTTCTTTTCTTATTTTTTTTTTATTTCCCCCCATAATCCCTTTTATCTTGGTTACCTGAAAAATTTTACATTATCACCTGTTTCACAAGATTGAAAATACACACAGAGAGCAAAATAGATGAAAGAAGTTTTTTCCACACCACATCTTTTCAAAATTAAACTTTCCGACTTGCATTAGGATACAACAGACAACAGAGCTCTCACATAATTAAGATTTGAACATGGCATGAACAAATGCAGAATCAATCAGTGCCTTCTATCAGTTCATCAAAGAAGATCACTATCACTGGAATTTATTTAACAGAGGTGGGAAGGGAACTCAGAATAATTCAGTTCTCCCAAACTGCAATAGTAAAACTGCCGTAATTTGTAGCAGATTCCTTAGTTTGGTCAGGAATGTTGTTAACAATTTTTTTTTTTTTTTTGCTTAAACTCCCGATATGAACTAGTTCCCAGGTTTATTATCACCCACATTGGAGTATGACTCAAAATCCTGAATAAGGACCAGATGCAATGTACTCCAGCCTCTCCACACTGCACTTCTCAAGGCAAGGGCAATGACAGCTGCAGGAATGTTCATGCAATACACGTGTGCTGACACTGGATGGGGCTTCCTTCACCTTGTGCTCCTGGGCACACTCGCTCTCCCTGCAGTGGCAGCTGAACCACTGCTCCAGGACCAAAACAGCCCAAACAAGACTGCTGGATCCCCCTTGAACACTCCTGTATGCCTAACCAGCCAACTTGACACACAAATGCAATCCTGCTGCTCTTGGCTTGATTTTGGTATTGCCTTCCTGCAAGTTACTAACTTCTGATCTAGTTTTAGCAGCACAGAACAAGCAATATTGGTAAAATGGAATACAGTAAAAAAGTAAAAACCAACTCATTTTTAAAAGAACCGAGTGAAAATTCCTCTTCTGTTTTGGGGAGCATAGAGGCAACCTTTAATTTGATCTCACCAGCCTTTGTCACCACCCCACCTGGCAGCAGCCAGCACTTGACTCCTGTCAAATGCAGGAGACAGCTGTGTGATTCCATGCAATGTCAGTAACATGCTATCAAAAAAACCCTAAAAATCTATCAATGGCATGGAAAAAAAGCTTAAAAAAAATCTGACTCCTGTTCATTAGATGTCCCCCAACAGCTCTGCTCTCTGTACACATACAGAGCTAGTGTGTGTTATAAAAAGGTGATCTCAGTGGCACTGTAGATCTGGAGCCTAGAAAATTAGCACAGGTAAAGCTTGGATGGAAGCTGCTTTTAGCAGCCTTTCATTCACAAGTAAGAAGGACTGTAGATGTGTCCTAGGACAAAATATCCTTTTCCAAGTTTCTCTTTGGGGGTACATTTGAGCAAATACAAACACAAATGCAAATTAAAACAATATAAAACAATTGAATAATTTTTTGCAGATTTTCAGCCTCTTCATATTGAAAGGAAAATGAGACATCGATAACACTTTCTAATTACTCAGTCTGAAAATGCTCATTCTATCTCCATATGTAAAACCACTGTGAAACACATCTGTGAAGCGAAAGAATAATATCAGAAGAGCCCAGCCCTGCTCCCTCAGGCTGGAGGCTGGCATTCCAGCACGGCTCTCCTAATGTTGTTACACATATCCTTGACCAGTCCGTAGTATCTTCTGCATTGCCTCCAGTTTTCCTGTAGTTTTCTTGATTGCAGTATGCAATCACTGCCCAAAAATTCTGTCCTGTGACGTGAAGCACGTTATGGAGACCACTTAGAAAGAGATGTTTTTGACACCTCATTCCATTTTTTTGACAAAAATGAAATTCAGCCTATTACAGTCATGCGTCATCTCCTGGTTAGGCAGAATCTAATACTTAAACCCCCTTGAAACTCAGATCTTTCAAAAGCTACTGTTTTTAATCAATCTTAAAAAAAAAGGCCCTTTGTAAATTCATCCATTCTGTTTATCTCCTACCACCATAAAAGAAGCAACTCCACAGCCACGTGATCTGAATGCACTTTAAATGTGCCAACGTCTTTGCTGATATCCTGCTTCTTTGCAAAATTTCATCAGTAATTTGTTTCATATGAGTCTTTTCCATTCTGCTAAAATAGGACCGGAAGATCCATTTCTACTGCATTTGAACAATTCTCACTGGAATACAGTATGATTAAACATTTTAGAACTGTGTTCTTATTTACTTCAGTATCTAAAATTTCTGCTGTAATGTGAAGGCATCAAATCAACCTAAAAAAAACCCACATAATTTTCGGAAAAGGTCAACATTTTTCACATTCACCACTGTTCTAATGGATGTCTGGCTTCATGGCCCTCTTAGTGAAATTTTCAACTTCGTTGTGTGCAGATAGCAAAGAAACTTCTCCTGAAGCCACTGTTAAAATGCTGAAGAGATAACATTCCACTCATTGGGTATTGCATGAACTAGGAGGAGCACAAAAACATCCCATTCCAAATGACATAGTCACCCTGTTCCTAGGTAGCTACCGATTCTATCCAAAATTAAACCTATAACTTCTAATTTATTTATTCTGTCAAGCCTAGAGCAATCTGCCTATCAAGTAAAAAAAAAAAAAAAAAAAAAAAAAAAAAAAAAAAAAAAAAAAAAAAAAAAAAAAAAAAAAAAAAAAAAAAAAAAAAAAAAAAAAAAAAAAAAAAAAAAAAAAAAAAAAGACAAATAAACAAAAAATATATTTTCCAAGACAAAGAATCCAG